AAAAAAAGAAAAAATATATATATATATATATATATATATATATATATATATATATATATACACACACACACACACCAAATACCACCCAGATATATTCAACTAATCTTGATACAAAATATATAATTTTTACAGATACAAGACATTCGATTAACCAACTATTAATATTGGTAGGCGAGGCACATTAATCGGCCCTCGGTAATATTTGATGGGGGTACACATTGGGCCCAGCAGTGTTAATTTTAATAGGTCCTGTCATGGGCTTTTGGGCCCAATAATCTTTTAAAAAATGCGACAAATGAAAGTACACGATATGTGAAATTTCAACGGAATCGTTCGGCTAACGAAAACGGCCATTACATCTAACATGACAGGTAAAAAAAAGTCACTAGATTATCACATCATTATCAAGTCATCCCATATGGCCCATCCTATATCATCACGATAGAAAAAAAACAAATAAAATAGTAAAACAAAATTTTACAAAAACATATATAATATATGTATACAACTTGTATACACACATACAAATATACATATATACCAAAAAAAAATAAATATACATAGACATATATACATGCAGATACAATCTATACACATACATACTGTGCATACATAAGAATATATACACATATATGTATATATGTATATATTTGTGTGTATATGTTGTACATATGTATATATATGTATGTATACATTTTTTTACGCATAAACATACGTGTACAAATATACTATAAGGATGTGTATATACATGTTTATATGTTTTTTTGTTTAAGATTTCATTACCATATAGTAATAATATAACACCGTACACTTGAATTATTATTAATCAGTAAGGTCTCTCTATACACGACTCCTTTCCGTTGGGTAGGGATTGATTTCCACCGTTGATTTTTCCATCTACTAATTTCAAACAAGAATTACTGAAATTTCAACACGTTCACTTAGTGTTTTTTCTTTTCGCATGATATTTTCTACGTCTTGATCAATGTCCTGCACTCATATATTCGGAAGCCCAATTGCAAATAAAATGTTTCTGATATTTTCAATCCAAATAAAAAAAAATTAAAATTTATCTAATAACGTATATTTTAGGATGTGACATCTAAATCTAATTCATATTATATTTTGGAAAACTGAGAGGATACATGTATATTCTATGCTAAAAAAAATAGGCACACGTGTTTATTCAATTTCCGACGAAATACTTTTATTTATTTCGTCGTTACAATAGTAATGATAATTTCTTTTAAAATACATTAAATATTCCAAGATTTCAACATTTAGGGATAGGAACACCGCAGGCGGAGAGGACTTTACGAGCATTAGGGGAATTGACATACTGACTAAAGGCAGGGTTCTTAGCGTAACCGCAAAGGCATGGCTGCTGCTCCTTCAGCTTACTGCAGCATGCCGCAGACGGTTTCCCTCCGGTGGTTATCGCCGTCAGGCACGGCGTTAGCTCCGTTACTACGCACGCCGCTTCCGTTAACGGCGCCGTTTGGATCAGCAACAGCGTTGCCAATGTTACGAACATTATGGCAGTGGTCTTCATAGCTATAAAAAATATTTGTTTGTTTTTTTGCTCTATTGGGTCGAAGTTTTGTTTATTATATTTTTGTGTGTGTGTGAAGACGTACATATATATAAAGATGGGGTTGAGGAGTTTGGTAATGGTCCAATATGAGAATTTCCGTCTCAGAATTGGAAGAAATAAAAAAAAAAAAAGGATTAGGGAGATCACGCGTTGCATGTGCATTGGACAGGGAAAGACGTGCACGCATTTGGACGCCATGCTGGTAACGTGACACAAAAAATGGTTGTGGTATACGAAATGTAGGATTTTTTTCCATTTTTGGTGGTGGAAATATGTATAAAATGTATGTAGACCAAAATATGTCGATATTTTTTTTTTGGTAATCAGCTATCGTATCGTGAATCGAAATCCAAATTAGTCTTGAAACTGTAAATAAATCATGTGTTTGAAATTATGCTCCCCTCCCAAATTTTGAATTTGATATTGTTCCTTTTGTGGTGGTGGACATGAGTACAATTATCGTGATTTTTTTCTGTAAATGATTATTGGCACATTAATTGAGCCTTATTATAATAATCTGATGCGGTACAGATTAGGCCCAATAATATAAAACAAAAACCGACCTGTTATGGGCTTTTGGGCCCATTAGTCTTTAATGATGGAAAAAAAATGTTTCAAAAACAAAGATATAAAATATATTGGTTAAAAAATGCGAAAAAAAAATGCTCATCTTGCACATTTGACATTTCTAATAAAAAAATTGATTTTTAAACGGCATCAACTTGTAAACTTGACTCCTCCGATTTCAGGGCGTGCAAAACTATATATATAATTTTTTTAAAATCATCTAGTGACATTATATATCGCAAATTGTGACATCTAAATATAATAACAAAGAGACTAGTTGTGCGACCAATGCTTTAAACAGAAGGGACACAATTTTTATTCAATCATCAACGAAATACATTCCGTTAGATCATCATTACATATAATTAATGATAATTTATTTTGAATGTATTAGAAGTGGACAAGAATTCAGCAGCTCGGATAAGGAACACCGCAGGCGGAGAGGACTTTACGAGCATTAGGAGACGAAACGTACTGAGCAAACGCCGGATTCTTGACGTAACCGCAAAGGCATGACTCCTGCTCCTTCAGCTTACCGCAACATTCCGCCGACGGGTTTCCTCCGGTGGTTATCGCCGGTAGACACGGCGCCAGCTCCGTTACTACGCACGCCGCTTCCGTTAACGGCGCAGTCTTGATCAACAATAGCGTTGCCAATGCAATGAACATTATGGCAGTGGTCTTCATATCTATAATTTTTTTTTTTGCTCTATTGTGTTGAGGTTTTGTTTATTATATATTTTTTTGGGTGTGAAAATGTGTGTATATATACACATAAAGATGGAGGTTGAGGAGTTTGGTGACGGTCCAATACGAGAAGTTTTTTTCTTCTTTTGGTAAAAATATGAGAAGTTGTACGACGTGCATGCATGTGAAATTATCGTGTACTTTTTTCCCTTTTTGGTGGGAAATGGGAATGTGTATTTGAATTAAAATATGTGTGCACTAAAAATATTTCAATATTTTTCCCTTTTGGAGTACAATTATCGTGGATTTTTTTCCCTTTTTAGTGGTGGGAATGTGTATAAATTCTATGTACGCAAAGATATTCGACATTGTTCCTTTTTTGGTGTACAGTTAGTGTTTTTCTTTTCTGCAAATGATTACCGGCACATTGAGCCTTGTTATTATCTGATGCGGTACAGTATAGGTCCAATCCAATAATAAAAAGGAAAAAATAACTGAAAATTTCTAAATTTGTAATTTGGTATAATATTATTTTCTGAATTTATAGGTGCGTCTATTTATTTCCGAACTTGCATTTTTTATCACAGTAATTCATGAACCTTGCTTTGATCAATTAGTGGTATGGACGATTATGAAACTGTTAAACTAGTTTAGGAATTACTATGTTAAAAAAATACAAGTTCGGGAATAAATAAACACACTTATAAATTCATAAATTAATATTACAACAAATTATAAGTTTAGGAATTTTCATATATTTTTCCTAATAAAAAATAAAAACCCGACCTATTATAGGCTTTTGAGCCCAATAGTTTTAATGATGGAACAAATATTTCAAAAACAAAGAAAATCTATAAAATATATTGAAATTAAAAAATGTTGAAAAAATATCCAGCTTGCACATTTCTAATAAAAACATTATTTTTTAAATGGAATAAACTTGTAAACATGACTCCTCCTCCGATTTCAGGTCAGTACCAAGTCAACAAAAATATAAAATATTATACATACATACATACATACAGGAATTACTGATGTTTTCAACACATTTTTTTTTCTTGTTTGTGTGATATTTTACCATATCTAGATCAATTTCTTACATATTCACCAGACAGTGTTAGAAATTCCAAAGCACAATTGCAAATTTTTTTTTGCGATATTTAAACCAAAATAAAAAAATCAAATTATAAAATTGTATATATTTATTTTTTAAAATTATCTTGTGAAATTATTGCAAATTGTGACATCTAAATATAATAACAAAGAGAGTACTTGTGCGACCAATGTTTTAAAAAGAAGGGACACATAATTTTATTCAATCATCAACAAAATACATTCCATTAGATCATCATTGCATATAATTAATGATAAATTATTTTGAATATATTATAAATTGACAAGAATTTAACATCTCGGATAAGGAACACCACAAGCAGAGAGGACTTTACGAGCGTTAGGAGACGAAACGTATTGATCAAACGCCGGACTCTTGATGTAACCACAAAGGCATGGCTCCTGCTCCTTCAGCTTACCGCAACATTCCACGACGGGTTTCCTCCGGTGGTTATCGTCGGTAGACACGGTGCCAGCTCCGTCACTACGCACGCCGCTTGCGTTAACGACGCAGTCTTGATCAGCAACAACGTTGCCAATGCAATGAACAGGCAGTAGTCTTCATAGCTATAAAAAATTAATTTTTTTTGCTCTATTGTGTTGAGGTTTTGTTTATTATATTTTTTTTGGGTGTGAAAACGTGTATATATGTATATAATGATGGGGGTTGAGGTGTTTGGTAACGGTCCAATATGAGAAGTTTTTTTTTTTTTTTTTTTGGTAAAAATATGAGAAGTTCCATCTCAGAATTGGAATAAAAAAAGGATAGGAAGATCTCGCGTTGCGTGCGTATTGGTTAGGGGAAGATGTGCATGCATTTAGACGTGCATGCATGTGAAATTATCGTATATTCCCCCCCCCCCCCC